TCTTTTATGTCCTTAATCACTTCCCATTGTACTGGGATTAGTCTTACCTTCTTGGGTTTGGCAGTCCATCAAGTCTCAGCCTGGCCTGGGCTTCCCTCAGCTTGGTCAGTGAGTAGATGGCTGAGTAGGCTGTATCCTTAGCCCTCAAGGATATGATCTGTTTGTGTTGGGTTTTCAAAATTCAGTATTTCAGGAGGCAATTGCTCTTGGAGGAAACAAACCATATTTCTCATCTCTTTTGCATAGACCCTGGTGCCTGCTGAATTCTGAAAGTGGCGTGTGTCTCTTGCTGGACCTGCTCTGTCTGTCTACATCCAGGTTTGCTTATCACACATTGAAAACAAAAATGAAAATAGTGTTAGTTCTTCAACCTTCAGATTTTGTAGAATGCACAACACTAGAGCTGGAAGAATGACTATTGTCCTCTAGTCAACCTCCCTCATTTATAAAGAGGAAATGAAAATCCAGAAAAGCTAACCAGAATTAAGATCACAGAATCACATATTTAGAGGTAGTTGTGTGGCTGGATACTGGATAAAGTACATAGCTGCTGAATCTGGAGTCAAAAAGATCTAGATTCAATTCCTACCTCATATATTATTTGGCCAAGTCACTTCACCTCTCTCAGATTCTGTTTCCTAACCTGTTTTCCTAAATGAGGATAATAATAGCACTTAACCTTCCAGAGTTGTTACAAGGACAAAAAAAGAATATTTGTAAAGTACTTTGCAAATCTTAAAGTGCTATATAAATGCTAATTATTATTATTACTATTTTCATTATTGTTCAGAGCTGGAAGGGACCTTAGAGGTAAAGATCACATCACCAGTTAAAGTCAGAGCAAGGATTAAAACCTAGGTCTTTTGAATGTTAGTGCTTTTCCAATTACATTATGATGAAGACAGCACAGCATAATCCTGACCACTGGACCAACTTTTGGAGATGTTCATGAGCTTAAAAAAAGATCATGTGTGTATAGTAATAATAATTCATTTGTTGCTAACTTTTCAATATTTGCAAAGCCAACCTCCTGGCTTCTCTGGCTTTCTTCAAATTTCAGCTAAAATCTTACCTTTTATATAAATTTTGCCTTTTAGTTTCCTGATCCCCCTTAATGCTAGTGCCTTACCTATCCTGATTATTTCCTATTTATATTGTATAAAGCTTGCTTTGTATTTATTTGCATACTGTCTCCTCCATTAGATTGTGAACTCCTTGAGAGCAGAAATTGTCTTTTGCCTTTCTTTGTATCCTGGGCACTTGGTTCAATTCCTGGCACTTAGCAGGAGGTAAATAAATGCTTATTGACTTATTGACAGCTGCCAAGTGAGGTAGTTCTATCTACACCTGGTATCCCTTCTCCTAGTGGTGAGCATCTCCCAGCTAGTCCTCTAACAGGAGTTAACTTGAAAGGTTTTCAGCTAGTGGGAAGGACCTTTCAGTGATTGTGCAAGTGAAGTTCAATGATAACTGATATTTCTTGTGTGAAGTCCAGAATCCAGGGTCACCTCTACACCATGATAAGGCAATGATGTAGGCCTTTAGTGGAGAATAATCACATAAAAATATGTTCATTATTTAAACATATTTGATAACTCACATTTCACACATGCTCTTTAAAGGGACTGAGTTTCAGGACGGATTGCTACTGTGCCTAATACAGTGCCAACCTGTTAATAGCCATATTTCATCCCCTAGTTAATGAGGGTGCAATGGGAGATAAACAGGAAATACTTTAAGCAGCACTTACTCTAAATTCAGGTTTGTGGGATTCCAGGTTAATGGGTGTTCTGGAGCACCTGTGAAAGAACAGCCACTCACTGGCTCCAAACCCCAGGGCTCTTCTATGACTTTATTCTAGATGGGCCCAGAGTTCCTCTAGGCGGCCTTACTTAGTGAACCTATACTAACTAGGTGATGGAGTTCTCAGGCTGAGAAACTGAAGGTGATGGAATAGGTTAACAGTCAGTGGGAGAAGAAAGTACCAAGGAGACTCTATTCCAATTCACTACTCCTCTTATCTGACATGCTCTCTTTCTTCATCTCCTGGGAGCAGCCAGGTGACGCAAAGGGTAGAGCACTGGGCTTGGAATCAGGAAGACATCTTCAGGAGTTCAAATGTGACCTCAGACACTAGCTATGTGATCCTGGACAAGTCACTTAACCCTGGGTGCCTCAGTTTCCTCATCTATAAAATGGTCTGGAGAAGGAAATGGCAAACCACTTCAGTATCTTTGCCAAGAAAACCCCAAATGGGGTCATGAAGAGTCAGACACGAGTGAAAATGACTTGTCAACAACCACCTCATCTCCATCTTCTGGCCTCTTTGAAGAATCAGTTCTACACCTACCTTCTGCAAAATGTCTTTTCCAGTCTCCCCACTCACTGCTAGTGCCTTTCCTCTGAGATTACTTTCCATTTACACTGTATATATTAGTTAATTACATGTAGTTTCCCCCAATAGAATGAAAATTCCTTGAGGGCAGGGATTGGTTTTGCTTTTCTTTATATCCTCGGGCTTAGCTCAATCCCTGGAACATAGTAAGTGCTTAATAAATGCTTGTTGATGGTGATGACGGTTTTATTTGGTTTATCCATTTGTCCCTTACTGAGCCAGAGAAATTATGTTCCTGCAAGGTTGTAGTACCTAGTTAGTTTCCTGTCTAGGAAAAGGTGCAGGTCCATGTGAACTAAGGTTAAATGCAGTGATTACACAAGTGAAATTGTAACAGACATATGTGGGTTATCTCTCAGTTTCTGTCCTTCACTGTTCCAGCCCCATTGGGCAGTCACTCCACCCATTGTTGTCTTTGAACAGCCTGTTTCTAAGAAAAGAGTCTTGGGTCAAGGACCTTATTATCTTTTTTTTTTTTTTTCCTGGTTTGATGTTTTAGGAAAAACTAATCTATAACTCATTTTGGGGTTAAACAAAACACCCATCCATTTACACAAGTTTAGGACTGGGAAATGAGGTCAAAGAAAAGGAAGCCATGAGAAGTTAACAGTTCACAAGCAGACAGGTGGCAGGTGCTGTTACCGGCTCTCACCTTTTTTTTTGAATAAACAAAGGTCAGTCAACTAGTCAACCAGCATTTAAGGGCTCACTACGTGCCTAACACTGTACTAAGTACAGGGGATACAAAGAAAGACAAAAGACAGTTCCTGCCCTCAAGGAGCTCACAATCTAAGAAGGAAGACAACATGGAAACAACTATGTGCAGAGAGATACATAGGATAAACTGGAGGAAATCAACAGAGGGAAGGCCCTATCATTAAGAGGTATCAGGAAAGACTTCCTGCAGAAAGTGGGATATTTGATCTGAGGCTGGAAGAAAACTAGGAGACTTAGCTGATGAGGAAGAGCATTCTAGGCATGGTGGCAGGAGAAAAGAGCAAGGAGTGGAGGAAAATGTAAGAAGGCTGAAAAGGTAGGGGTGGGGCCTTCGAAGAAGGGCAGAGAATTTTATATCTGATCCTGGAGGGGACTGGGAGCCAATGCAGTATGCTGAATGGGGCTGGGGGAGGGGGATGAGGAGGGGGAGGAAAGGAGAAAGAAGAGGAGGGAGGAGGGGGAGGAGAGAAGAAAAGAGAGAGAGAGAGAGGGAGATTGAGAGACAGAGAAAGATAGAGACAGAGACCGATAGAGACAGAGACCGATAGAGACAGAGAGATTGAGAGACAGAGTGAGAGACAGATTGAGAGACAGAGAAAGACAGAGACAGAAAGAGACAGATTGAGTGACAGAGACAGAGAGATAAAGTGACAGACTGAGAGACATAGACAGAGACCGAGAGAGATAGAGACAGAGAGATTGAGAGACAGAGAGAGACAGATTGAGAGACAGAGAAAGAGACAAAGACAGAGACAGAGAAAGATAGACAGAGACAGAGAGATTGAGTGACAGAGACAGGTAGAGACAGAGAGA